GAGGCTAACAGGCTTCTTGGATTTTTGCATGGAGCAAAGTAATTATGATACTTTGAGCCGGGTCATTGAACAAGTAGCAGTGATAGACGATGGGGAAGTGGACCTCCTGAGGGCATGGCCATATCCTCATTTTTGTCATTAAGACAGACTTGTTACATCATGTAGATAGTGTTTTGCATTTTCAGTTTTCACCAATTTTCACCGATAAATTATAAAGTTTTTTATTAAAGGAGTTTGGTTTTTACTGCTTTACACCAGTTTATCAATCCACTCAATATTTTTGGGGTACTATTTTTTTGAAAAAACACTAAAGCTTTATGCGATTGTTATGTCCTGGAGCTCTTAGATTGAAGCAGTTCTACAGTGTAAAACATAGAACACACATGGTGGAGGTTGGAAAAATCAAACAATGTTAATATCACACTATGATTGGCTCACAAGGAGATGCTGCCCACCTATTTCTTTGAGTCCATTTAGTGTGGCGCTGAATTTAAACAATCAATCCTCTGCAGATAAAGATAAGGTTAAAAGGTAAAGATGGGGTGAAAATGCAAATCTATGCCGGAATACCAACAAGAAAATCAGTGCTTAGAAAATTTCAAGAAAAGTAGACTGGAGTGAAAAGGATGCATTGCGCTGCAAGTACTGCAGCATTGAGGTCAGTGCTTGTGCTGACAGAATAAAGGAGCATGTCAAAAGGAAGCTTAAAGAAGAAAGTGAACTTTGGGATAAACAGTCACCGTGGCTTTCACCGCGTCTTTAATAAAAGAGAGAAGACACAGCATGATTGTGTCAATGAATTTGTGCACGCTCTTTGGTTTGCCAGACAATCGCTGTTAATTGTAGAGGGGCCTATTGGTGACTTTGTGAGATAATACTGTGCAGCAGCAAAAACCCTTCCAAATGCAGACAAGCTCACGCGTAAGTATCTGAAATAAAATGATGATATTTTAGTATCTAGACTGATGGAACGAACTGATGGAAATGTGGTATCTAGTCAGATTTTTGACGAGTCTCCTGATGCTTTGGACTGTCCAATTCTTGGCCTTTTGTTTTTGATTTCAAAGTGAATAAACCCAAAATAAAACTTGTTTTGTGCTGATGTGACATTCATCCTCTCTGCTGATAGCCATTTTGTCAATGCAGCAATAACTGACATGTTTGATATGTACCAACTAACTTGGGAAAATCTGGCTACAACTAACACAGATTCTGCTTCCTACATGGCTAAATTTGCACAGGAGATTAAACTCAATCAGAAACTGGAACTGCTTTGTACTACCTGCCCTGCTCACCTAATTAGTGTTGCACAGTCAGTAGCTACTGGTACAGAAGAAATGAAAGACGTGAAATCTTGCATCATTGGATTTGGAGCCATTTTCAAGCATGCAAACAAGTTTAAGGCTTTGTTTTACACAGTGCGAGATGAGTGCAAAGCCCACTGCCGACTACCTCTGGTGTACCACATACGTGAACACAGCACCAAAAAGAAACACAAAACACAAGAAAACCAAAAAAGCATTCAAAACCAATGCTCACAAGAAATGGGAGATGACTGTAGCCCATTAACTGATCCCCAAAATGTTTGGTGCCAAATAAAAACTGAAAATGCATCTAGTCCAGGACAAGCAGATGCATGAGATATGGATGCAATTACTTGTGCCCTGGTTACATCATCTTGAACTCCTACATTTAGTGCACACAATCCTATGTGCAGGACACCCTGGGAAGGATAAGACAAAGTCTAGGACCCTAACCCAATACTTTTGCCCAGGGTCCTTAAAGAAGTTGAGAATTTATGTGCGTCATGCCCCAAATGCTAACTAGTGGTCAGCAAAGGAGTCCCATGGACTCTACTAGTACCCTTTCCCTTGATGGAGATCTTCTTTGCATGAACAATAATCATTCTTATATGCCCCCTACAGAAGAGTACCTCTGGACATCAGCATATCCTTATCATCATGGACTTGGTCACCCAATAGCCGGAAATTATATCATTCCAGACAACGAATGACAAGACTATCACTAATGAGCTGCTGAAGGTCTTTGCCTGGGTAGGGATTCCCAAAGAGAACCTGATGGACCACGGAACAGGTTTTACAATCTGGTTGATAAGAGAGTTCTGTGGCCTACTAAAAGTCAAAGCATTATACACATCTGTAGGGTCCTACTAATTTCACAGTCGTAGGATTTTAAAAATCACAAATTTCATGATTTCAGCTATTTAAATCTGAAATTTCATGGTGTTGTAATTGTAGGGGTCCTGACCCAAAAAGGAGTTGTGGGGGGAGGCCACAAGGTTCTTGTAGGAGGGATTGCAGTACTGGTACCCTTACTTCTGCGCTGCTGCTGGCGGCGGCGGCGCTGCCTTCAGAGCTGGGCAGCTGGGGAGCAACGGCTGCTAGCCGGGAGCCCAGCTCTGAAGGCAGAGCCATTGCCAGCAGCAGCGCAGAAGTAAGGATGGCATGGTATGGTACTGCCATTCTTCAGCGCTGCTGCCTGCAGAGCTGGGCCCTCAGTCAGCAGCTGCCACTCTCCGGCCACTCAGCTGTGAAGGCAGCAGGGAAGAAGTAAGGATGACATGGTATGGCATTGCCACCCTTACTTCTGTGCTGCTGCTTTTGGGGCACTGCCTTCAGAGCTGGGTGCCCGGCCAACAGCCATGGCTCTCTGGCCGCCCAGCTCTGAAGTCAGTGCAGAAGTAAGGGTGGCAATACTACAACCTCCCAAAAATAGCCTTGTGACCCTCTGCAATTCCCTTTTGGGTCAGGACCCCCAATTTGAGAAACATGGGTCTCCCCCATGAAATCTGTATAGTATAGGGGAAAAGCACACAAAAGACCAGATTTCACGGTCCGTGACGCATTTTTCATGGCCGTGAATTTGGTAGGGCCCCTACACATCTGTGTACCATCCATAGACAGATGGCCTAATGGAAAGGCTTAATCAGATGGTAAAGAGAATGCTCAAGAAATTCATTATCCAAGACTCATAACATTGGGACCAACTACTCCTGACTCTACTCCTCTTCTCCATTAAGGAAGTATCACAAGTTTTGACTGCATTTTCACCACTGCAAGTGCTTTATGGGCAACCGCCAAGAGGTATACTAGACCTGGTGTGAGAGACATGGGAAAGCCAGGCTCCAAGAACCAAAAACCTTGTACAATATGTCTTAAAGTTACATGAGAGACAGGAAGCTACGGGGCCGTATGCTAGAGGAAGGAACACATACAAAAACAGTCACATTATAATAAAGTTGCATGACTATGTGCCTTCCAGTCCGGGAACAGAGTTCTATTGCTTCTTCCAATCTCTGAATCAAAGCTGATGGCCAAGTGGCAAGGCCCTTATGAGATGGTAAAGGAAGTAGGAACTGCAAACTATTTAATCAGACAAAAGGGGGGAATGGGAGGAAGGAATGACAAATTGACTGTGTAAATTTGCTGAAGCCAGGAAAAGCCACTTCATCATGCCATATGCTGAGGAACTGGGACCCCAAATTAGAGACTGCCTGAAAGAAAGCTCAGTGCCCCTCCGAGAGAACCTAAACCAGAAGCAAAAAAACCAGGCACTCCAATTGGTGGCCACTTTTACAAAGATATTCTCAGCCCACCCTGGGAAGATATCCATGGGCCACAATCACATTAATATGGAACCCAGTAAAGTAATACAGAAGAGCTGCAACCAATCCCCCCACAATTGAGGAGGGCTATCAAAAAAGAGCTCAAGGTCATGTCAGAACTTGAGCTATCCCAAAGTGACTGGAGAAGTTCTATTGTGCTGGTTCCAAAGTCAGATGACTCACTACATTTCTGTATAGACTTCAGAAAGGTAAACAGTTTCAGAATTTGATGTTTACCCCATGCCTTGGGTGGACAAACTTAGACTGGCTGGGAGAAGCACAGGATAGCACCACTCTGGATTTAACAAAGGGATACTGGCAGATTTCCTTAACACCAGACTCACAGGAGAAGATTGCTTTTATGCCGAAAATGGGCAGAGATGACACTAAAAACCAGTGAATCCTGCAACTACACTCCCTCTCTTTTCCTTCCTTGCACAAATCCCAGGTGCCGCTTCACGAAAGTAGGAGAAACAAAATAGATATATTTTTTATGGTCTTATGGTGTGTAAAGTTAGTGTAAAGACTAATGTATATTTATAGCCCGGGAATGAACAGACAGAGCTAAACAGCATTAAAAAAATTCTACTCTCTCCTCAGAAAAATACTATGAAATAGAAATGGTTATAAATATGCTAGAAGTTTTTAAACTTTGAGCTTATGTTTTTAAAACATTTTTAAAGTTCTACTGACCTCTGTAGACACTAAATAAAAGCAGAAAATTCTCACATCTGGAGAAGTAGATAGTTATTTATATGTATTTTCCCCCTGTTCTCTATTTAATTTTGAATAAATTATTCTTTTTAAAGTTGTTGTGATGTTATAACTCTACACAGGAATGATATAATTTGGTCTAAATATGATGGGACTACTTAGCTCATGGACAATGTAATAAACCTTAATTTAACCCAGCAATAGCCTGCTCTATTAACTTCTATATTTATATTAGTCATTTTGTTTGACTAGTCAGTCAGTCAGTGCTGCTTTTTAATGCAGTATTTTTTTTTGTAGGAATATTTACTTATATTGAAAAACATGCTTGCATAATTTCCAGGAACAGATTCTTGCAACCACTTGTAGCTTCTTCACGAGTGACTGATCTATGTACTTGCCATAAGTAAAAGGATTTGAATTGTAAATTTCAGCTTGCAGGCTACTAAACCTCATTGACTCTAGCAGCACCTTGAAGACCCTGGGGATGTTCCTTTAGTCTGGCATTTGAAACTGACACAAATAAAAGACTGAAGGCCAACAGACCTCATAAATCATAGCTACAGTGTCAATGCCAATCTAACAAAGGGACTAATAACACACAACTACTGCAAAAAATAAAGACAGCCAGGAAAAGATTTTATTTTAATAGCTGATATTCAGGATGGCTTTCCTGAAGCAGACTCTTTCATCTCTTCCCCATTGCTTTAGGGGTACACAGTCCCTATTTTTCAGGCTGGTGAAATGGGAAGGTTGCCTAGATGCTGATGAAGAAAATGTGAATTTTGCCAGAAGGGATGAGCTTAACCAGACCCACAGCGAGGAAAAAGAGGAACAAGATGCCACCATGACCCTTGAGTTTAATGTCTCCCACCAGGATCCAGGATATCAATCCAAGGCTCACATGCAAGGTGCCCAGATCAAACTGATCACCACTTGGGAAGCTGGATGGAATGTTACCAATGCCATTCAGGTAAAATGCTTACCTATTTACATTACTCATAATTTTAAACACTTAGTCTGTTTTGTTTTGCTTTAACTATATCATCATATCACAACACTCAGAAGGTTTTTGATTTCATCTCAGATGGTGGATTAATATATTACTGACATATTTAAACTTTTTTTACATGAAACTCACACTTTAAAAACAGGGAACAAAGGTCAAAAGGGAGTCGTGGGGGAAGTAGGGATATTATCAAAAGAGAGAAAGATTCTGAAAATAATTAAACTAAGGGAAAATAAAGAGATGCTAACTGCTTCTGTAGGTTTGGAATTGCCTTTCCATGTGTACATTTGTATTCAGAGAAAATCACCAAGTTAAAGAAGGTGGAGATAAATCGGAGATACAATATGTAAATATCTCACAAAACCAGAGACAATGTATTTAAGACCAGTTTCATCCCAGGTCTAACTTAACTGATGACTATGAATTTGGACCAAAGAGAATAATAATAATAATAATAATAAAATAACTTTTTATTTGACATCAAATTTAAACTTGGTTCCATAATTTTCTTGATGGAAAAAGTGTTTTTTTCATATCTATAAATTTAGCTTAACATTGTTTTAAAAACTGCTTTTTCTCTCCCACCTCCTTTTCATTTGCGACATCATACAGTAGGAATAAACAAATGTCTACAGACATATTTCACATTTAGCATTGTTTATACACTAATCAGTAGCTCGCTTGCAAATTTTCATGACACCCTAAATATGAAAAGAAAAGAAAAAAAAAAGGTCTTCCACTGTTGTTTGAGAGTTTGATAACTTTAATGGACATTTTCCTGTTCATCCTCTTCTAACCCCCCAATCTTTTTGAGGGGGAAAAACCCCAAAACATTGTCTATGTCTCAATGAAGTTTCCATACTATATCTAATTTAAAATGAATACAAATACAATACAATTTAAGTCAAAGTAACATATCATATTCTAAATATGTTTAACTAAGAACATAGACTTGCAATCCTAATACAAAAATGGAAATACATTTTGGTGACAAGTCAGTTCTTGCAGACTCTCAGCATGGTCTGTCAATCAGCACAATGGGCTGGGGGTGAAATCCTGGCCCCAGCACAGTCAATGGGAGTTTTGTCATTGACTTTAATGAAACCATTTCATTTTCGAAATCAAGGGACTTTGTTTCTAGACCCAGTTTTATCAATGCCTTGTAGTGTGACCTTTGGCAAGTCACTTAACTTCTCTTTGCCATTGTTTCCACATCTGAAAAATGTAGGTAATAATATCAGTCGCTCAAAGTGGTTTAAGACTCCTGGATCTATTTAAATACAATATTATGTTACATATTATTAATTATTATAGATTCCAGTATAGAACTAGATATTTAGCAATATGGTAGCAATACTACTTACATATGGCAGATTATTAAAAGATTTTTTTTAAAGGACAAAGTAGCCAATCAGTTCAGGAAAAAGGGCTTCATTCAGGGTCTAGCTACACTGCAGTAAATACCTGTGGCTGGCCCAGGTCAGCTCACTCAGACTTGTGGATGGCGGGCCGGGGTAGGAGGGCTGTTCGGGCTGTAAGGCAATAAAATTGCAGTGTAGACATTTGGGCTTCGGCTGGTGCCCAGCTCTGAGACCCCACAAGGCAGGAGAGTCCCACATCTAGGTTCCAGCAGAAGTCTGAACATTTATATTGCAATTTTATAACCCCACAGCCCAAGCTCTGCAAGTCCGAGTCAGCTGACCCAGATGAGCTGTGGGTGTTTTGTTGCAGTATAGATATACCCTTAGTGTCTGCAGCTTTGAACCCTGCTACTTAGTCTTGCTTGGTCCAGTATTTTAAAACAGAACATAACAGCAACAGGGGGCAAGCTACAGTTTTTCAGTGTTTTGTTTATGGGGGAGCATGAAGGTGGCAAAGTGGGGAATAATTATTTATTTACTAATACGGTTGGAGTTTTCTAATGGATATATTGTATGTGGGTAAGTGCAACAGAGCAGGTGTGCAATACATTTTGTGTTTTCTTTTACTTCTCTGAAGTATGGAAAAAACCCTTTATGTCTGGTTAGGGGAATACTATAAAATAGGTATCTAAGGCAGAAAAAAATATTGAGTTGGCACAGATCACTGAACATATAAGAATTTGAGGGAATTTCTATGCAAACCTTACAAGAGAAAAATCAGGAGTTATGAACAGATTGATTAAAGCAATCAGAATGCTCTTGACAGGTGGAAACAAGCTCTGTTAAAATGGGAATGACAGTTGTTTTTGCCTTACCCAGAGGAAAGGGCAGCAGTGTTTTGCATGGCAATTAGAGATAAATGTTTAAGTTGAATTTGAAAACACTCTAAGCAGTTATTTCAGTGCACACAATTAATCCACAAATGAAATTATATTATAATCTGGAATTATTTTAAGGATAAGTAACTTTTTGGTCAGTATGAAATTCAATAAAGGAGGCTTTTTTAGATTGTCTGCTTATTAAATAGTACTTATTTGCATTGGAAATGTTTAAGTTTTTTCCTTCAACTGAAGAATGTGAAATTTTGATGATAGCATTGTTTATGTAAATGATTGTTTCAGACATTTAAAGTTTCCAAGGAAACATGTTTAATATTCTTCCACTGTACATGCAAATGAAAACCTGTGTGCAGTTAAAACTACCTTTAAGAAAAGACATAACCCAAAATTATAAGATAAAAGGATGAAGAAAAGTATACTCTGACAGAGAGATTCAAGTTATACTTCTAGCTAGCAATAAAATAGCAAACTTTTACACTGGTTTTCACAGTAGTCTAGATTCTAACAATATGGTAGTACCAAAGTAGTCTTTACATACCAACAACACGGAAGAGGAGTGTATTCAGAAGAGATGACATGGTGCGCCAAAGAAAAAGAATGTCAAAATAAAAGTCCCACTAAGCCTACTGTGTCCTGAAGTGGTGCAAGCGGCCAGAAAACAGCTATTAGGAAGATGTAAAATAAAGTATCCCATCACTACTTTAATTTATAACCCATTTGAGATGGACTTCCCCAAAACTCTCAGCAGCACACACAAAGCTCAGGGCTGCAGAAAACTCATCTGTCCTACCAAAGAGTTTCAAAGTGCTTTCAATAGTGTGAAACTCACTCCTTTTTACATTTAAAATATAGTTGGGATGGGTTCCACCTGGAACTGGGGTATCACTGAGACCTCTGACCCACCAGCCAGGGCTCCCTCTCACATGGTGTTGCCATGACAAGTTGCAAAGCCCTCCAAGCTTGCACTTTCACCAGCATTCACACAGATAGGGACACACCCAGATGCAGTCACTTGTAGGCTCTCTAAGCACCAGCCTCGGACCAGTGTTCCCTCTAATTTTTCCCACCAATGTGTGGAATGAATTTTGTTATGTTCACCAATATGGAGGTGATGTGTGATGTGAGCATAACAAAATTCATATAGCGGGTTGGGGCTGAGGGGTTCAGAGTGTTGGAGGGGGCTCAGGGCTGGGGGCAGAGTGTTGGGGTGCAGGGGGTACAGGCTCTGGGGTGGGGCTGAGGGGCTCAAGGCTGCTGAAGAGGGTTGGAGTTCAGGGGAGGTGAGCTCTGGCTGGGGATGTGGGCTCTGGGGTGGGGCCAGGGATGAGGGGCTCAAGGCTGGGGCAGAGGGTTGGGGTTTGGGGAGGTGAAGGTGCCATCTGGAGGTGCGGGCCCTAGGGTGGGGCTGAGGAGTTTGGGGTACAGTTGGGCTCCCCAGGGCTATGGTGGGGAGAGAGGACTCCCTCCAGCCCTCTCTCCCTGCAGCAGCACCTGGGCTGGGGGGGAGGGGCACCTGTCCCCTGGCAGGTTCAGGGCCGGGCTGGGTCAGGGCCAGGGGAAGGATGCCTGTCCCCCAGCCACAGCAGGTTCGGGGTCAGGCTGGGTCGGGGCTAGGGGAGGGGTGCCTATCCCCAGTCATGGCAGGTCTGGGACTGGGCTGGGTCAGGGGCGGGGGAGGGGCACCACAGGCATCTCTCCCCGCTGCAGCCCTGAGCGCCTGCATGGCACTTTATAGGCAACTGCACAGCTGCGCGGCCATGCAGCTTAGACGGAACTTAGCCTAGGACCCCAGAGCAGTACCATCCTTCCCTGGTCAAATCTGGCCAGTATATGGGTTTAAACCCAGTCCGCCTCTCCCTCAATGTGAAGAGGACCATACACACTAGTGGTAACCAAGCTGAGATTTTTCCTAGACAGCTTAGTCAAATGCACAATGGTTTGGATTAAAATATAAAATAAGTTTATTAACTAGAAACTGATAGATTTTAAGTGATTATAAGTGATAGCAAACAGATCAAAGCAGATTACCTAGTAAATAAACAAAACCACAAACTGAGCTTAACATACTAGATAGGTAGGATATGAATTAGCAAATCCTCACCCTGAGTGATAAACAGACTGGCAGATTCTTAAAGCACAAGCTGCCTTGGCTTTGCAGCTTGGGTTTCCCAGGTTTTCATACAGAGACTAGAATCGCTTTAGCCTGGGAACATCACTTCCCCCCGTTCAGTCTTTATTCCTCAGGTGTTTCCAGGTGTGTTGTTGTAGGGAGAGCGAGTTCCCCTTATGCTGTCCTTTTCCCCCTTTTATATTTTTTCCCACTTACTGGAAAGCTCTTTTGCTGTGACCTGGGTCAAACAGCTCCCATTGTGTAGTGCTATCTCTGAGAGATTTCTATTGTACACAGTTCCCGGGGTAATACTTGTGCTTGTGTGCATTTCCTCAGTAAGCCATTAACATTGTTTGGTTTTTTTACTGTTGTACCTGAAAAGCTGCTTGTGAGTGTTTTCAACCTCACAACATGTTTCAGTAACACATACATAGCCATAACTTCATATACAACAATAGCACATACAGTCCAACAAGATATTAATGTCTAGCAGATCAATACTTTTAGAATGATATCTCACAAGGCATACTTTGTGCAAAACATATCCTAATTACATGAGAGTGGTGAATATTGGGGCACCTGTGTATCACAATA